CAGGGTTTCTCCATGTTGGTCAGGCTGATCTCAAACTCCTGACCTCGTGATCCGCCCACCTTGACCTCCCAAAGTGCTAGGATTACAGGCGTGAGCCACGAGGTTACTATTAGTATAATAATAAGGCAAAAGGTTACTATTATTGTAATAAATGAACTATGCCCACATGTACACACCCATAGCTCTGTGGCGCTGTCCTGTCTTTGTGGCATGCCTCTGACCTTCTTTTTGTAAAGATGATTTTTTTCTCAGCTTTGATACTTGTATGCTCAGTAATCTTAAGTCGTGGTCTGCCCCATAATCTAGGTAAGGAGAGGATCTGGACAGTTTTCCTTTGTTTTCCAAGTCGGCCCCCACCCTCCTGAGACCTTCATCAAACACAAATGAAATCCATTTTCTTTGTGCATTCAGTGTGTCTCGGCAGATGTGAGTCAGCATCCTGTTCAGAACGGCTGTTGGTGCCTTGCCATGGACAATAAAGACACACATTTTCCATGGAATGCCAGGCGCTGGAGCTGACTTGGGGTTTCCACCCGCCGAGAGGAGGAGGAAACTCCAGGAGGCTGATTTTGTGGTTTTGGATGCAGCCATCATTTTAAACTGCCAATGTTCTCTATGCTTGGAAAATACGGTGAATGATTTATGGGACCCAGGACCCCCAGGTTTCTCCTGGCACCCTGCTGTCAGCAGCGCCTCCCCATGGCATTCCCTTGGCAAAGCTGTTGCTTCAGATTAACTGGCATTTGGAACAGTGACTGACCTCTGGGGTGCCCATGATCCAAGTGTTGAAAATATTGTTGTAGTTAGCTAATTAGATTAGCTGGCTATTTTTGTTCAAGGAGTAAATGCTTAAAGACTTCCTTGTGCTGTTTCCCATCAGGAGCCAAATACGTTTGTGTCTTGGTTCCTCACCAGTGTTGGAAAAGTGTAACTTCTATTAGTTTTGAAAAAAAATTGTAAAACATCTGTCTGAATTACAGAATTCATGTTTTCATCCACATTCTGTGGGATCACCGTATCCACATCACTCTTCCTTGTGGAGAGCCTTTGCTTAGATGACTTTGTGATCACTCATATCAGACACAGGAGGAAGAGGATGGAAAAGGAAGTGTTATTCAGGTTTTCTGTTTCTTCTTTATGCCCTTGCCCCACCCACACAGTTTCTTTAGACCCTGGGCCCTTCCGCCTAGCAAACACTTCCTTAAGCACTGGAACACGACAGGTCAGAGAGTATAAATCAAGGAAGGCAGAGCCCCATCTCCCGGGCATCTGGCACTATATTGAATTTAGAGCTTTTCTGGTGTCCTGGCACTGGCTGTGCATTGTTGATGATGATTGTGCTGACATAAGTATTCGAGGTTCCCTCTGAGTCCTTCAGTTGCATCCTGGGTAGAAATGGTGAGTAACCGGATGACCTTTGCAGCCTCAACCTGTACTGAATAATTTTTCACAGGAATAAATGGCCTCACCAATTACAATAGCAGGGCAAGAGGAAGCAGCAGTGTTCTAGAGATAAGATGGTTCAATCCCATTTGAAGATGCATGTATTTGGTATTGCAATATAGGACATGACTTAAGTGGCTTTGACTAGGCAGTTGATCCTGGCTTCATGATTTTTTCCTCTTTCCAGTTCAGTTTGAAACATGCAGACAATGGTATGGGAGAAATAGGTGATGCAGGTGAGGTTCTTGGGCAGGGCGGTGGAACGGGAGTCTTCTACTTGCAGAAATAGCCTCCATTTCATTTCCTTGTAGTTAGTGGCGTTAGCACTTGTGCAATGCATTACGGCTGTTCACTTGTAAAGTCCCAGCACGTTAGATACTGCCTCTCAGCTGGCTGTTAGCTTGGTAAATAATTTAGGTAAAATACATTTCGATTCCTTCAGACTATGGTTGTTGCTGCCTCCTAGGTAAGATTCAGGTTAACCACCCAGGCTCTTTATGGGGATTTCCAGTAATTGGATTAAATTCTATCTCTGCTGGCTGGACACTTAGCTGCTATGGAAAGAAAGGCAGAAAGCTGTTTCGTTGACTAAGAGTGCGGGACTGCATCACAGCTTGTGGAGTGAACTCTTCAGATATTACTTCTTACCTGGGTTGTTTGGACAGAAGTAAGCACTTCTTTCCCTAAAATTGTAGTCGACCCTGTACCTCACAAAAGCAGTTGGTAGAAGTAACACAGAAGTCTTTCAGATAGGTAGATTTCTCAAGATGTTTCCATTTCCCACCCGTGGTTATCATTTTCTGTTGGTGATTCTCAAATAAGGAATTACTGGGGAGCTTGTTGAAGTGCTGCTTCCTGGGTCCCAAGTTCTAGAGAGCTTACTT